TAATTTTAAAACTTTTTTGTTTTATTCACTGTGAAATCCTAAAATCTCGTTTAGGAGAATGAAAGGTGTGCCTTAGTAGTCATCCCAGAAGAACTATGATCTGATTTTTTTAAATTAGGCATGCTGAAGAACTTTGTATGGCTAAGTTAGCTCTGCTATCAGTTCAAGTAAACAAGTGTAAAATGGTTTTAAACTCTCGAAGATTCCCTTCTGTTTTTTTTTTTTAAGTTTAAAACTGAATTCAAAATCAGTACAACTATTTTTGTTATCACAAATTTTAGGGTGCCATGCTAAATTTCAATCAAACTGTTATTCACAGAGATTGGAGGTTTGCTTTTCCTTGAACAGTTGATGAGTTCATATTAGATACACCAGTAAGTAACTGCCTACATATAAACAGTTGAAATTCTTCATGTGAATCTTTGTTTCATTTTGGTTTCAGAATCTTCGCCTGCTGCTGGAGTATAGCTGCTGCATTTTCCTTTTAGCAGTTAATACTTGAAAACATGAATCGAAGTATCTCATGAGATTAACTCATGATGTGGGGAATACAAACATAAAACTTACTGGACTTTAGTCACAAGTTGAAACTGTTATGTTAATCTCTGCGACAATGTACATTTTTTGAATAACTCACCAGCTTTACTAAAGTAACACTACCATACACTCTCATCATGTGTTTTCTGAATACCAAAACAGACACCTTCCCCCTCTGAAAAGCAAAAGACACTGTTAATTTGTTTGATTGGAAAGTTATGCATGTTGAAACAGCTAAACCTGGTGTTTCTTTTTTCCCATCAGACTACATGAATAATTCCTTTTAAACAATTGAAAGGGTAGGTGTAACGACAATTAGTGCAGCTTGCAAAGTCTCACGATCTCTCATGGACTGCTACACTAGAAATCCTGTCATGACAGTTTAATTTCACAGTGCGTTTCTGTCAGACAGCATCAGTTGGGTGTGCTGATCAAAACTGACCTTTGTGGTAAATAAACATGGTTAATGTTTTGCTTGGCAGATAGGTTATTCTGGACTTAATTGATAGAGCTTGCATGTAGAAAAAGAAGAGCAATGAGACTAAGACTAACTTGGGTATATTGCCTGATTTAGGTAGTTTTTCTACCTGTGACTTCCATTGGTGGGGGAGTCAATATCTCAGTGTATGCTGCCTATGGATAACTTATGTATCTGTGTGTGGTAAGTTGGTTCAATGTATCTATGGTAAGCAAGATAAGCTTGATTTGGTCTTTTTTTTGCTTGCTTGGCATTGAAATTTTTCCTTACTATGTTTTGTATTTTATGCTTTAAACTTTAAAATCTCAAACTATAAACTTTGAAATCTAAGTACTGTAAACTTCGTGCTAGGAGAAACAGTCTTTCTTGTGAGTGCTATCTTATCCAGTCATCTTAATTTGTAACTTATCACTTTGAGCTCTGCTTGCTCCAAAATTATGTTTAGGCCTTTAATGTAAAGATAGTTCATATTTCTAAGTTGCATTAATACTTTTTTCCATGTACAAATTATGTTAATGTTTTAATACGTTAATAGTTTGGATGATGTTCTAACTAATTAGTAAAACTGTCTTACATATCCCAGTGCTGAATTTGCATATAAATAAAAATGACCTGGATATGCATAGAAATAAAAATTATCTGAATAATAATTTCTAGATAGGAAATCACAGTTTGTTTGAAAGTAGCTTTTCAGAATAATATGGTGTGCACTTAGGAGGTTAGGGCTGTGATGTTTTGCTAAGCAAACTGTTGCCTTGTGTATTGAACGTGGATACAGAAAATCCTGAACTGGTTGTATTCCAAAGATAATAAAAATTTAGGAGTTCAAAGTGTAGCCTTTGGCTAAAATGTTTCTGAAATTCAGTCATTTTGGCACGCTGTAATGAGCCATCTGAGTTTATATCTAACACATTATCACTTTATCTTAATGCTTTCATACTTTCTCTTAGTAGTTAATAGTTTTTATTACTGGAGCTGCTTAATACTTTAGATATTTTCCAAGAATATGCTATGTTGATTTTTGGATAATCCGAGTCAATGTTTTTTTAGTTTCTAGTAACTGTGTAAATTGTGACAAGATGGAAATAGTTTTGTGTAAAAGAAATTGCTAACTTTTTATCCGATGTAGTTAAGTGTTCACTTGAGAGAGACTTTTACATTCTTGTTTGTAACTCAGCAAGTCATAGGGGTTAGTGCTGGGGAGGGGATTCTCTTACTGTGGTTGTGTTATTGTTTGTAATGGGCTGCCTGTTGCTGGTTCTGAGCAGATTTGAAGGTGCTACAAAAGAGCAGCAAAAAGTGCTCAAGGTATTATGGCACAGAAAAATATTGCAGTTATAGTAAAACGTACAGGTGTTCAACTTTGAATATTAATGAGAAGTTTGGATATCTTAATGCATCTTAGTGGTGTACCTGTCCTGTCTAATGTGCCTGAGATGTGAGCAGCAAAGGATAAGAGATACAAACAGATACAATGTTTTACATTACAAATCCACCACTTCAAAAAGCCTGTTGCCAAACATAAGCATAGGCCACGAGTTAAATGCTGCAGCATCAGAAGTAAAGCTGGGTTTTGGACTTCATTATAAATTAAAAATAATAGTAATAAAAAATCCTAGTGTAACTGAGGGAGAAAACAGGGAAGCATCTGATCAGATCAACATAAAATTTGATCACTGAGTAATAGATCATTAGTAATAGATGGCTACCAAAATTCCAGCAAGATGGAGGAAAAGCTGGTTTGTTGATTGCTTAAAAATGATGTTTTAAGCAATCTTCTCAACATTGCCTTTTAGGCCAGTCTGGTGGCTTTTTAAAATTTTCAGAGTTTTGGAGTTGGTGATATCAGTTATTTGTTGCAAAGATTTGGTTGTGTGTAAGAGTTTTTGTTTGTTTGGGTTTTTTTTTTTTTGGCTTTAAGCAAATATTTGTTAACTTGGCAGTATACTGGGACATAAAGCCCTGGAGACCCAAGTGCCTCTGTATTCCCAGGACATATCATAGCCTGGGAAGGAAAGCAGACAGGACAGGAATAATACTTTTAGTCATTGAAATGGTGACTGTTTAGCCAATACATTTAGCCATTGAAATGGTGACTGTTCCAACCTCACTCGTTTGCCCTCCCAACCTTTTCTTCATTCAGTGTTAAGAACTTGTAAGTATTGGTTCCAGCTAGTGACTAACTTCAAAGAGCTTTAATGCTTTTTATTGTTTGCTTATTCACTTTTTGTTTGCTATGTTTATAGTTTTAATTGTGCAACTTAATGCCTAGATTTGGAAGACAGACACACTTTTTTTTTCTCCTTCCAAAAGGATATTCCTTTTCAGTACTCCTCTACAATACTTTGTATGGTTTGTGTGAATCTGAGTCTTAAATTCCTGTCAAAATCATTGACTTAGGAATATCTGTGACTGAATTCCTTCTGAGGTTTTGAAGTGAACTGTTGACACAAGCAGATTAATTTGCTCTGATGTTTGCTAATGGGCAGAGCCAGTCCATGGAATGTCAGCCAGTGTGATCTTTTACATATCTACCTGAGCAGGTTGGAAATAGGGAAGAGAAAAATTACTATAAGACAAAATATGAGTGGAGAAAGGAGACAACATGTGATATTATTTTAGAAGAGGTGAACAGAGCTAGCATGAACATAGGCGCTTAGAGATTGACATCCAAAGAATAGGATGAGGGCAAACCGGGGCTTAAATGTGGGGAGAAAAAGGTCAGGAACAATAAAAAAAATGACATAGTGAGTAATTAGTTTGATTTGTATAGCAGATTGGCCAGGGAAGAAAACTCAGAATGAGAGGTAAGGGAAAAAATAAAGCATAAATAGTGAAAGGAGAAATAAATGAATGTGTACTACTTAATCAAAGTAATTAAGAAAATGTTAGATTGCTTTCTACTTGCTGGGAAGAAATTTTGCCCCCAGGTTCTTGTTGAAAGCTTAGGCTTGTCAAGGGAGCCTTCTGAGGCTTTAATTTGCTGTACTGTGAGACTTGAAGGAATGAAGACAGTTGCTGTAAACCCAGATGAAGAAGGTGGTCCCAGATGTCTTGTTCCTGAGGTTTCTGCCCTTCTTCCTGCTGCAATCTTGTCTAGATTTAGCTAGCTGAAATATTATACTGACTTCAAAAGGCAAATCCAGTGAAGGTGTGCCTTTACGACTGTCTTGCTGTTCCAGGCTCTTTCTCTGTCATTTCTAGAGTGTGTTGGAGAAGCCCAACTGAAATGTTCCTCCAGTAATTTTGATAGATTCTTATTCTTATAGCTCTTGATACTTATTTGTTTCAGGTCTGTTCTGAGAGGGGAATAAAGGAATATGTCTTATTCTTTATGGGCTTTACACCTTAGTGGTGCTTGACTTTTTTTTGTTTTTTAATGATAAGCACTACTCTTGCAAGGGCAGTCAGAGCTGCAGGGAATACAATACAGAATTATTCTCTGTTCTGTTAATAATATTTATAATTCTTGTAAAGAATTGATGGTGATACCCAGCCAACTCTTGCAGTTTACTTCCACATAGTTGCATATCAGTCATTTTACAATCTGAATTAAATGAGGGAGGAAAATTTTCTACTGGACATAATTGTCATATATGAAGTAGAGAACTGGAGTGAATGTTCACTACTCCAGATTAGTTCTGACCTACTTTGTTTGCTCATAGCAGACAGCATTGATATTTTTCTTCTAGCATGTTACTTCATGGGAATGTTCATTTGAACTTAGCTCTGTGTTCCTCTCGTGTTGTGTTAGTAATTCCTAGAATTTGATGTAATGGATTCTTGGCATTTTGTAGGAGTTTTTAATTTATCTGTGTTTCTATTATTGCAAATAATTTTGACACTTTCTTTAAGAAAATTATATAGTCTAAATGTGTAACCTACAGTTTTCTTTCAAGCATGAATTCTGAACTAAGCATCATTGTTTATTTGATAAACTTTTGAACAATCCTAATTCTTACTACATCTGTTTCTCATTTCAGGGTTTCTTTGTAATTGCTGCCATGGGAAGATACTTGACTATGCTGCTGCTGCTGATGCTGCTGGTGCAGCATTTTGGAAACTGTGAAGGAAATCAAAGGCCACATCATGCTCCATCAATGCAATTTACAGAAATACAGTATAATGCCACTGTGTATGAGAATTCTGCAGCCAAGACTTACGTTGGGCATCCAGTGAAAATGGGCATTTACATTACAAATCCACTGTGGGACATAAGATACAAAATTATTTCTGGTGACAGTGAGAACTTGTTCAAAGCTGAAGAGTATGTTCTTGGAAACTTTTGCTTTTTGAGAATACGGACCAAGGGAGGCAACACAGCTATCCTTAACAGAGAGGTGAAGGACCATTATATGCTGACTGTTAAAGCAGTTGAAAAAAATACAAATGCTGAAACTCGCACGAAGGTCAGGATACAGGTACTGGATACAAATGACTTGCGGCCTTTGTTTTCTCCAACATCGTACAGCGTTTCTTTGCCTGAGAACACAGCAATAAGGACCAGCATCGCAAGAGTCAGCGCGACAGATGCAGATATAGGAACAAATGGAGAGTTCTACTACAGCTTTAAAGAAAGAACGGATGTGTTTGCCATACATCCAACTAGTGGAGTGGTAGTTCTGACTGGTAGACTTGACTACTCAGACACAAAGCGTTATGAGATGGAAATTCTTGCAGTGGACCGTGGGCTGAAGCTGTATGGTAGCAGCGGCATAAGCAGTATGGCAAAACTAACGGTTCACGTGGAGCAAGCAAATGAACATGCCCCTGTCATTACAGCTGTTCCATTGACTCCATCAGAGTCAGACCCAGATCCCACGTATGCAATTGTAACCGTAGAGGACAATGACCAGGGTTCGAACGGGGAAATAGCATCATTAAATATTGTTGCAGGAGATGCACTTCAACAGTTCAAAACAGTAAGGTCTGTTCCAGGTGGCAAAGAATACAGAATAAAAGCCATTGGTCCCATTGACTGGGAGAGTCACCCTTTTGGATACAACCTTACCCTTCAAGCTAAAGACAAAGGGAATCCCCCACAATTTTCTTCTGTAAAAGTTGTTCATGTGACATCACCACAATTTAAATCTGGTCCTGTCAGATTTGAAAAAGAGATATATAGAGCTGAAATAAGTGAATTTGCTCCTCCAAACACACCTGTGATAATGGTGAAAGCTGTGCCTAGTTACCCACATTTAAAATATGTATTTAAAAACACACCAGGAAAAGTAAAATTCAATTTAAACGCTCACACTGGTCTTATTACCACATTAGAACCCATAAAAGCACAATATGCATCCCATTTTGAACTTGAAGTTGTGACAAGTGACAGAAGAGCTTCTGCAAAAGTATTAATTAAGGTACTAGGCATGAATAGCAATCCTCCTGAGTTTACTCAGACATCCTATAAGGCCTCCTTTGATGAAAATGTGCCAATAGGTACAAGTGTCATGAGAGTGAGTGCAAAAGACCCTGATGAAGGGGAAAATGGTTATGTGACCTATAGCATTGCCAACCTAAATCCTTTGCCATTTGTGATTAACCATTTCAGTGGGATTATTAGTACCTCAGAAGACTTGGATTATGAATTGATGCCAAGGGTTTACAATTTAAGGATTCGAGCCTCTGATTGGGGTATACCGTATCGCCGAGAAGTTGAAGTTCCTGTTACTATTATTTTAAATAACTTGAATGACAATATACCTCTGTTTGAGAAAATAAATTGTGAGGGAATAATCCCCAGGGACCTTGGTGTTGGAGAGCAAATAACAACCGTATCTGCTATCGATGCTGATGAGCTCCAGTTGGTGAGATACCAAATTGAATCTGGAAATGAACTGGATTTATTTAGCCTAAACCCAAATTCTGGAGTACTTTCTCTCAAACAATCACTAATAGATGGCCTAGGTGCTAAAATGTCTTTTTACAGTTTGAAAATTACAGCTACAGATGGAGAGAACTTTGCACAACCATTGTATATCAACATAACTGTAGCTAATAGTCGCAAACCAGTGAACTTGCAGTGTGAAGAAACTGGTGTTGCCAAAATGCTTGCAGAGAAACTCTTACAAGCAAATAAGTTGCACAATCGTGGAGAAGTTGAGGATGCTTTCTTTGATACTCACTCTGTGAATCTGCATGCACCTCAGTTTAGAAGTACTCTTCCCAGTAGCATTGAGATAAAAGAAGACCAACCTGTGGGCTCTAGCATAATATCTGTGAATGCTGCTGATCTTGATACCGGCTTCAATGGAAAGCTAGTGTATGTTATTTCTGGAGGTAATGAGGACAGTAGTTTCATTGTTGATATGGAAAGAGGAGTGCTGAAAATTCTATCTCCCCTTGACCGAGAACTAAAAGATAAATATACTCTCAATATTACTGTCTATGATCTTGGAATACCACAGAAGTCTGCCTGGACCCTTTTAGATATAAAAATTTTGGATGCTAATGACAACCCACCGGAGTTCCTCCAAGACAGCTATTTTGTTGAAGTAAGTGAAAACAAAGAGCCCAACAGTGAAATAATTCAAGTTGGAGCTACTGATAAAGATTTAGGGACTAATGGAGAAGTGAAATACTCTCTTCTTACAGATACAGACAAGTTTACTATTAATTCTGTGACAGGAGTTGTGAAAGTTGTAGGGGTCCTGGATCGGGAGGAACAGCACATTTATTTGTTGAAAATTGAGGCTAGGGACCAATCTACTGAAGAACCTCAATTATTTTCAACAGTTATTCTGAAAGTGGCTGTAGAAGATGTAAATGACAATCCTCCCAAATTTATTCCTTCAAATTATCATGTGAAAATTCGAGAAGATCTTCCTGAGGGAACAATTATTACATGGCTAGAAGCGTACGATCCTGATTTGGGCCAGTCAAGTCAAGTACGGTACAGTCTTTTGGACAGTGGAGATGGCACCTTTGATGTTGACAAAATAAGTGGGGCAATACGTGTTGTACAAAGACTGGATTATGAAAAGAGACAATTTTATAACTTGACCGTGCGGGCCAAGGACAAGGGAAAACCCGTTTCATTGTCCTCTACCTGCTACGTTGAAGTTGAGGTAGTTGATGTGAATGAAAACTTGCACCCCCCACGGTTCTCCATATTTGCAGATAAAGGCTTCATAAAGGAAGATGCTCCTGTTGGCTCCTCAGTAATGACAGTTTCTGCTTATGATGAAGATGCAGGAAGAGATGGGGAGATCAGATATTCCATCCGAGATGGATCGGGTTTAGGAGTTTTTCGAATTGATGAGGAAAAAGGTAAGGTGGCTTTCTGTTACTTTTCTACACTAAACAAAATCAAATGCCAGGAAAGAGAGAAGAAAGAGAAGCATTGTCACAGTTGATGTAGGTGTTCTTGTTTGGACTAAAAGATGCCACCAACAATATGTATAGTTCTGTCTGCTACTTAAGTGAAATTATTTTTATACATTTAATAAGTAATTTCTCTCTAATACTCCCACTTCCATTCAGCCTACCTAGAACCATGCTTAAGTCTTAAAATCTATACCACCCAGAAAAAGTAGGAATACTCTTGGTGTAAAATGGAGGTCTGCCTCATGTGAGTGCATACACTCTGTCTTGTGGACAGTGGGGCTGTTATACTCTCCAATTAAATTACATTCAATTAAATAACATTATCTTTTGCTCCTTTTACTGGAGGTATGCATGGGTGTGATACTGCCATAGTGCTGGTTTAGGCAGTTACTTTCAGAGTATACAGGTACTCATGTGGAATTCAGTAAGCAGTGCCATCTTCATTGGAAGGCTTCTGCCAAAGAGAGCATTGATGCAACCTTAGAAAAACCTCATGTGAATCAAGCAGACTGAACTGTTGACTTATTGCATAAATAATCCATACATTGATGAGCAGTGTGAGAATTTTTCCAGTCTCATGTGTTCAGAAGAAACATAATTTTATTTTCAGTAAAATTCTAATGCTGACTTTTAACATTTTGATTTGATTTCTATGTATCTGTTAAATTTATGTCTTTGATAAAGAGAGAGTATCGATATTCTGCAGTTATCTAAAAATCTTGAAATAAATTGAGGAGGAGTCTGGTGCACAATTTGTCTACAGGTTACATATAGGTAAATGATGTCATATGTGATCGATGTCTTAAAGGAAAAAAAGCTTGTAACTGAGAATAAAAAGTGGGAATTATGTCTGATTCATTCAGTAGTCATTCGGTGTGTTCTCTGTGCTTCCCACAATTGTGAATGTGGGTAATAGAGACTTATGAAGTCACTTTGCTCTGTAGGGTTTGGGTGAACAAACTGTTGCTCACTATTTTTCTTCTCTAGAAAGTCTGTTATTAAATTATGTGGTTTGTGGCTAAAGAACCAGCTCTACAGGTTGAAATGTATCAATGCTTCTCTTAGCTTTGCTTTTAACAAAGCACGTAGTTAAGGCAGTGAAACAGATTTTGTAGAAGTGGAGAATTTAATACTTTCTTTCCAAGACCTTGTAGTTTCACTTTTGGCCATTTGGTATGTGTGCAGAATATTAATTTGTGTATCATTATGCATTTCTTTTTACATAAGTGTATTAAAGTTAACTGTGTGTTATGGTATTTTAGAGGTGTCTCTTGTTGTCCTATAGAATGAGTCTGAGTTGGGCAATGTGTTATATGTGTGACAGGTAACAGTAAGTGAGAATGAACCTGTTTATGGGTATGTGGACAGGTGTGTGTGTTTTTGTGATGGTACTACCACAGCACAATTAGTTGTCTGCGTGTGTTGCCTCTACTTTTTTGGCACAAAGCTAGTTTACTTGACTAACAAATTGGTGTGAGTTTAAGTTGCTTTTTATCAGCTGGGTTTACAAAGCAGAGCTTGGGGCAAAGCCAGCTTCTGTTCAAGAATATTGTCCAGAACAGTGGCTCTGTATTTTCAAGGCATGGGAGAGGCATTGTCTCTATTCATATCTGGTATCTAGTGTTTGCACTTCTTTGGGGATGAATGTAGAAGGATTTGGTGGGAATGGGATGGTGGTGGAGAAGGGGTTGCTAGTTTTTGATATTATTGAACAGATTCCACTTATGACACTGGTGTGGGGAAGAAAGTGTTTATTTTGGGTTGCTTGATGTGTTTATTCCATCAAATGGTGAGCTAAAGGAAAGAACATTGAGGATGTACAAACTTAACAATGTAGCTTAAATTTTGGATTGACCATTTTATTTTGGTGAAAAGCCATCAGAATTATTCTTGAAGGACTCTTTGTACTGCAGTGTCTGAATATTTGTCATATTTTTCAAAAGGGACTGGCCTTGATACAGGGAGCAGTCTGATTATCAGCAAACAAAGTACATTGAAGAATTTGTGAAAGAGAAATTCTTTAAGCAACTTGCTAACTCTTTCAGCTTGCTGAAAAGTTCTTTTGACTTTACCCCTGAGCTACATGTCTCATCCTGCTGTCTTTGAAGAGCATCATACTACACTGTCAGTTCAAAGACAGATAAATCAGATTTAAGAACTTATTTCAAGTCAACATGAAACTATTCAGTGGTTCAGAGGGGCTCTTTTATCCCTTGCTTATAAGAAATTAAGGACAACAATCATATTTGCAGGTAGACTAGATGATGATAGAAGCATTGAATAGCTAGTTCCATGCATTGATTTTTGTTGACTTTTAGGTTGTCTTTCCTATGTTAAGTTTGTTTTAATTTTACAGTTCAAAAGGTAGGAAATAGTATTGGTGTTTGATATTTGTACCTGTAATTCTGGTATGTTCACAAGGGACCTTAATACATTTTTTCCATGAAGTCTTGAGTTCTGTTTTCCAAGACTTACCTTTATTTTCAGTCATTGGTTTTCATAGGTTCTGTTTTCTGCAGTTGTGCCCAAATCATTAGCAGTCAATGTCTTAACAGGGAGCACCAAACACCAATATTTCCAAACTCAGGAGCTGCTTTGAATACTTAGTTCCCTGACTGCTCTGTTGCTTTTCAACTAGACATAGAAAAAAAGATATGTTAGGGGTGAATTTGGTAATCAGTCATATTTTAGCTTTCTTAGTATTCTTAAGCCTGAAAAGGCAGTAATGGTCAGAAAAGGAGTAGAATAAGATGATAAAAGTCTAGAAAATTGCAATAGTTTCTGTAGCACCTATATCACTGTCTGTTTTTTGTAATGTAAAAAATAGGGCACACACAGTTTGCAAGTTTTAAAGTATTCTTCCTTTCCTAAGCTAAAAGGAAGTATTTTTCACATGAAGTGTAATAAAGTCGTGAAACCCATTTCCTCAGGAAGTTATAGAGATTTATAAAGTATGACTAAAGAAAATAAATGATACTAATGAGATTACTTTGAGGTTCAGCCTCACGCTTTCTTCAGCTCATAAACTGTTAACTGGAAGCCAAGGGGGTAAGGGAGAGAGATCAGAGGTCATCGCTCAATGTATGATTCAGAAGTACAGCAGTGCATTGTGCCTGATATTGTACAGAAATAAAATTTAAATTGCCTGGTAAATGAAGACTTGGAGATATTATATGAGAGGAAAAATGTTAAAATGAGATTTTTGTGCTGTGAATTTATATAACAAAGCCATTTGTTTATCCTTTAGGTACGTGTTCAGGAAAACTTGAAATTTAAGATAGCTTTTTATTTGTGAGTGGAGCTGAAGGCTGTAAATTGAGGTGATCAATTGGCTATATAAATTGCCTGCTAAAGCAGCAGTAAAATATTTTCTCAAAGAATTTGACAAGGAGTTGAGCACATCGGTGTGTATTAATAACAGAAGGCATTGTGTTGATGCAGATCTCAGTGTGCCACAGGAAAAACCCATGCACCATCTAAATCCCATTAGTACAGAACAGTAAAAGTGAGATAAATCATGTCAGTACCATGCTGCTACTTCAATTGAGAAAAACTAAAGAATTACAGAAGCAATTGCTGGAGCAGAGCTAAAGCAGAAGCTCTGTGGGACTAAGGCAATACTGAAATTTCCTTGTCCCAGTTTTTATTCCAGTGGACAAGGAGGGAAAAAAAAGAATGTCTTCCTGTTTACTTTTTGGTTTTCAAATACAAGAACGGAGACTTTCCATTGGGTATTGGCACTCCTCTAAGGTTAACTGAAAGATGGAAGCTCTAGTTTGTAAAAACTGTGTTGGGAAGAGCTCATAGTACTTCTTCCAGTTGTTTAGGCAGGTGAACAGTGGCTTGCACTGGGCTGGATGGGACATTATCATGGGAGCACCAGCATGTGCTGAGCAAGTGTCCACACTGATTTTCAGCTGTAAAAATGAGGCTGGGAAAACCTCGTAGTGGTTATCTGGCCTTCTCTAAAGAATTTTTCCAAGCAGATTGCTCTTTTTCTTGGGATATCAGGACTTCTAGCTTATGACTGAGTGCTGTTCTTATCATGTTTCAAGGTTGTTTTTTATGGTTTTACTTTTCTTTCTAGTGCTCAAAATTTAGATAGCTAAGGGAGCCAGCAGACTCTGGATGTGTAGATGCCATGGGTTATTTAGCCTAAGAAAGGTCTCATTGAAATGCTTAGGGAAGATGGAAGCCCATCCTGGAAACGGAGGTTCAGAAGTGAAGGAAGGTTTAAGTAATGAATTCCATGGTGTCTATTATAACTAAGCAGTTGCATTTACAATCCTTATACATGCAGAGGCTGGATGTTAGATGTAGGCCCTGTACAGTAAGCTTTCAAGACACAGTGAATTTTATAAACTGATTATCAGAAACTTAGCAAGTAGTTCAACTTGCAAGGCTACCAGCAGGTGATTTCTAAACTTCTGCAATTGAGGAAATTTCACAGTAGGTACCCTAGTTCAGAATGGTGTGAAGGATGAAGTGATAGTCGGAACCTTATACATGATAACCTTGTGTACTGTTGCCTTGTTTTTGCAGTATGTAGTTACTTGTTACCAGGAATCTTCCTGCTCTTTCATTAACCTGATTTTGAGTTATTAGGCCATAAGTGTTACAGAATAACAGTAATTCTGCTTTAACGATATGGACAAAGTTTAAGGTGATTAAACTAATTTGCTGACTTAAAAAGATGTATGACTGTGTTTTTTTTAAAACAAAGATCTGTCTAGCTTGAGATACTGTCTTCAGTAGTACAGGCAGGGCAGGGAGATAATGCTTTCTTCTAATACTTTCCCAGTCTCTGATTATTTTGTATTTGGGGAATTTTGAGGTCACATAGTTGGTAACATTCACATGCTTATCTTTCGTGTGTAGTCTTCTCTTGGAACCATATAACTTTGAAGTGTAACCTTGCTACTGTGATAAGGAAAAATGAATCG